CGCACCGTGCTCGCATGGCTACGCACCGGTCCTCGCGCATACAAGCCGTTCGTCGCGCATAGAGTCGCCGAGATCGTCGAAGAAACGAAGACGAACGAGTGGAGATGGATACCGACGCGGCACAACGTAGCAGACGACGCCACACGCGACCCACCGACGGACTTCGGCTCGCAGCATAGATGGTTCCGTGGGCCGGACTTCCTGTACCTCCCCGAAGAGCAGTGGCCGCGTGAAGATAGTACGAGCGACGATAGTCAAGCGGAAACGGGAGAAGAACGCGTACACAAGCTACAGAACGCGACGCAGTTGTCTATAGCATTACCCGATCCGTCACGTTTTTCTAATTGGTTGAAACTTGTTCGCAGTTCAGCACGAGTGTTGCAGTTCATCGACCTCCTGCGACCGACCAGTCAACGCTGTACCGCCATCCGAAAAAGAAACAAGAAGAAAGAGAGCGCCGACCCCACTTGGACCCGCACGAATAAAGTCGATAGAGAGAAGACGAAGATGAAAATCAAGAACAGCAATAGTCCATCTGTGTGTTTCATCCCCATAGACACACACTACCTCGATCGCGCGCGACGGCTATGGATTCGCGCGATACAACAAGAGGCGTTCGGCGACGAAATCGCAGCATTGAAACATGGGAAACAGCTGCCGTCATCCAGTCGACTCATACAGCTGTCGGTCGTCATAGACAACGACGACATTCTGCGACTTCGATCGAGAATAGCGGCCGCCGCCGATTTGTCAGCCGAGCAACGAGAGCCCCCATCGTCGACGGAAACCACGCCTGGGTGCGCCTATACATCGCATGGGTGCATCGGAAACTTCACCACGGCGGCTTCGAGATCACCACGAACGAGGTGCGACAACACTTGTGGGTGTTGCGCCTACGACACGCCGTCCGCAGTGAACTGAAGAGGTGTCAGCTGTGCCGCCTACGAAGAGCAAGACCGGCGCAGCCATCAACGGGCAACCATCCACATAGCAGGCTGGCGCATCATCAACGACCGTTCACGTTCACCGGCCTAGACTACTTCGGGCCTATGACCGTGACAGTGGGCCGCACTCACCAGAAGCGATACGGAGTGCTCTTCACCTGCCTAACGACGCGCGCAGTCCACCTAGAAATCGCCGGCAGCCTCAGCACGGACTCCGCCATAATGGCCCTGCGGCGCTTCATAAGCCGCAGAGGGTGTCCCACTGAGCTATGGTCCGACCAAGGCACCAACCTCAAAGGTGCTGACGTCGAACTGAAGAAAGCAGCCGAGGAAGCCATCCAAGAAGAGTCATCAGTTCATTTCATCCGGTGGCGCTACATAGCGCACCCTTCATGGGAGGTGCGTGGGAACGGCTGGTGCGTAGTGTAAAGACCGCACTAGCCGCTACGTTGAACGAGCGGGCCCCCAAGGAAGAGGTCCTCCACACTCTGCTGGTCGAGGTCGAGCACACCCTCAATAGTCGACCGCTAACCCACGTGTCAACATCGGCAGACGACGACAGCGCCCTAACCCCCAATCACTTCATATTGGGCGGTCCATCGCGCGTCCCACTGCCAGGCAGCTTCACAGAGAGCGACGTGGCGGGACACAAGGAGTGGCGTGCCAGCCAGAGGCTAGCTGATTGCTTCTGGAACCGGTGGGTGAAGGAGTACCTACCCGAGTTGCAACACCGGCGGGAGCCCCGAGCTACACACGGAGCCATCAAAATGGACGACCTGGTCCTGATAGCTGATGGGACCTTGCCTCGCAACACGTGGCCGCGATATACCCTGGACCAGACGGCGAGGTATCGACGTATATATATATATGCCCACATCGACATCGAGCGACGCGAACACGAGTTAACTCCAGCTACGAGAGCTGCGGCGGGAGATTATGTTCGCGACATTATTTGTATATATCGTAATTTATAGTTGTTAAGTCCCTAGTTAATCGTTTCTGTATTCTGTTATTTTATATAGATTTACATAGATTTAAGATAGTGTAAGTTAAATAAAGTATTCCTTTGCGTGTTGTCGTTATTACCTACGAATAGAAATTGTAACAATAAATAGAATTAAGAAATTGTAAATTGAAATAAAATAAATAAATAGACGCTATAGAGTACCGATCTGAAGAGACACGCGTCTCGTTCATTTTCGCCCCGTCCCGCTCGCACAGATCGCTATCGCGAGTTGGAAACATTATCGTGCGAGCGGGCGGGTATAAAGATAGGCCGCCTCCCGTCGAGCGGCATTCGCTTCCGGGCAGCGACGCACTACACTCGAGAAGAAATAGGACAAGAAGAAAAAATACTCTCTTCAGACGGTACCGGAGGCTTCAGAATAGTAATCCCTGTGTTTCACTCCAGCCTGAACCAACGCCCCTACAGTCCACGCTCACCGAACGGCAGTCCACACCGTTCATATATATATATATATATATATATATATATATATATATATATATATATATATATATATATATATATATATATATATATATATCTATATATATATATATATATATCTACATATGTCAACACTGAATTTGACACAAAAATCCCCATTAACAAAATGATTCGCCATTTATTGAATTCATTTGTTACAAAATATGTGATAAATGAAGAGTTATAAGTTGAGTTATAAAGTTGCAACGAAAAGTGGCATTGACTTTTATATATATATATATATATATATATATATACATATATATAAAATCGTGACCACATTTTTATAATCATATATTTATTAAAGTAATAAAAAATAATAAATATAATAGTTAATAACTATTGCATTTGTTAATATTAATGAAGTGTTACGAAATTTGTGTGTTACGTAAAGAAGTTCCGATGACGTATCGGCACTGTTAAACCGATGAGTTTGACCTAGCGGCGTTAGGGTTGCCACTTGCCACTTGCCAGAGGGAGACTTTGTACAAAAGTCGATTGTTTAGGTACCTCTGTCCCATTCGTGTTTCAACCGTGAAGCAGTTGTGTTTGGATGGCTGTGTTTCGGTTTGAAGGGTGGGATATGGCGTGAAGTTATAGGGTACAGAGGAATAACACCTGAGTCCTCAGGAATGGCAACGCATGAGGGGTATCATGGGCAAAACAGTATAGTCTGTTATGTCCATGATACTGCTCATGTCTATAGGCGACGGTTACCACTTTCCATCAGGTGGACCGGTAGCTTCAGCCATTTTAAGTTGTATAAAAAATGAAATTTAGTATTTGATACTTCGTTTATTAATTTGTTGTTTTCACAGTTGACAACCCTATACAAAGGTCGAGACGTACTCACGTACTCGTCTACTAATGTAACAAAGCGGAAGAGTTTGTTTGTTTGAGCGTGCTGATCTCTTAAATAACCAGTCGGATTTGAGAAAATCATTTTGCACTAGATGACTGATTCCTTGAGGATTATTATAGGTTAATCAACAACATTATAAATGTATCACTGTAACCGCTGGCCATAGTTAGTATTAAAACATAATATTTTTTTTTACCACAAGATGGCAAGCAGGCATACAGCCCATCTGATAGTAAACGGTCACCGTAGCTCAGTGTTTTTAAAACTTTTTTAAAGCGTGACCCCCTTAGTATGTTTTTTTTATGCAACTTAAAATGGCAAACAATTTGATGGCGCATCTGATGGAAAGTAGTAAGCGTCGCTTATAGATATGAGCAGTACTATGAATATAACAGAAAATGCTGGTTTGCACATGATACATCTTATGCGTTGGCATGAGAATGAGAAGCATGAGGGGTATCATGGGCGATTCCTGATGATTCAGGTGTTATTCCTCTGTACCTTGTAAATTCACTGTCATATCCCACCCTTTAAACCGAAACACAACCATGCAAACAAATGCTTCACGGTAGAAACACGAATGGGACAGAGGTGCTTAAGCAAACGACGTTTATACAGTCTCCCTCTGGTATGTAATACTTTGCGACCTTCCAGCCTTCATGATTCCTAATCTGTATGTAATTTATTATATTACAAATATGAAATCCGTATATTTTTATTTATTTTCATAGTTACAAGTTGAATAATATATGACAAAGTACTTAAAGCAGACATTAATTGCGTTATAGTAGAAGCTTGACCCCCAGGGGGTCGCGACTTACACTTTGAAAAACACTGTCATAGCCTATGAATACTTGCGACACTAGGGTTGTCACGTGTGCGTTGCCGACCTTGAAACTTAATACACCCTTTTTGAAGAATTCCATAATGTATATATGTCACATTAGTATATAAAACACATATACATAAATTCATACATATGCACATAAATGCATCTGTTTCATACATTTTATATTTTCCTTTCTTTTTTACAATACCTTGCTCTGAAGATGGTCGGTGTAAAACAATTGTAGTATTTTTTTTTATGGGTGATAATGGGATAGTACCCCGCCTGCGTTGTCGGTATACACCGGCGGGGCACCAGTGAGGGATGATAGGTGAGGATGAAAAGGCAGGTCAATTAGCTCATCGTGATAAATACACTTGGAATTCAGTACGTTGGTTTCCTGTATTATAGCAAAAAAACATATACAAATCGGTCAAGCCAGTTTTCAGTTTTAGTTAAACTACCAAACAGCAATTGATTTTTATATATAAATATAGATAAAATTTGAATTTGCATTATTTATGGACTGAATACTTAATATACATATATATATATATATATATATATATATATATATATATATATATATATATATATATATATATATATATATATATATATATATATATATATATATATATATATATATATATATATATATATATGTCATATATTCCGTTTGTTTTATCTAATGTATATAAATAACCTATATTCCACATGTATATAGACATTCATTTACGTATTGTTTCATAAATAAATATTAATTAAAACTAATTTAATTAGTCATTTAATGAATTAATTATTAATCATTTTAATTTGTCACTTGCTTGCTTCCATTAATTTGTAACATACTCAAATTAATATTTTTAATTTAAACAGATGCCAACGACCCACATCGAGCTCGATACGACCTTAAAAAGAACGTAACAAAAACACAAAATCGAATAACATTAGAGAAGCCGATGTTCGTACAAACGGACGGGACAACCCTGTCGTACTTGAAAAGGAACGACTATTACACGTTCCCGAACACAACCCGAACATTGCCGAAGTTCAAACCGATATCGGACGAGCAAATTGTCAAAATAAACCAAATACTCAAAGAGCTGATGAATAGTACAAATAAATATACAAACAAAGTGAGAAAAGGCCGCCTTATAGACAGTAGTGTTAGTGAGATAAATGTTAACGCTGTGACCACTCCTCTGAAAGAGGATCGGCAGGATGACAAGAGGTGTTCACAAGGTGGTACCTGTGAGTTCTTTTTCTATTGCTGGATGGTTGGAGGACTACTAGAAGGTTCATGCGCTGGTCTGCTGAAAGGGTGCTGCCATAGAGTTGCAAAAGCCGGCATCCTCGGAGTGCACGATTCGAACAGCATAGATTTCGCGTCGAACGAAGGATTGAGTTACGGACCGGTTATAAATGACGAAAGTAAGTGGATTCAGAGGTCTTAACGTCGTGCACTTATATATCGTAGCGTAGCGTAGATATTAGTAAAAATAACTAAAATATTTGTTAAAAAAACACAGTAGTCCTCAGGAGTGGCAAGTGTGAGGGGTACCATGGGCGTCACAGACTATCATGTGATGGCTATGGTACTGTTCACGTTTATAAGCGACGGTTACCATTTTCGATTGAAAATGCTAACTGTCACTTATAAACGTGAAACGGCCCATTTGATTAGATGGGCCGTCAGTTTGTTTGCTATTCCATATTGTGTAAATAAAATGCAAGAGTTTTATTTTTATTATTTTTTTGGAAAAACATTTGCATTTAGATAAAATAAATTTTGAAGTTATAAAACTTGGCGAATCTTAATAATGTGTACACATTTTGCACTATTAGTTTTATTAATGTTACGCTACGGTGTGATTGTAGTCCACAGCACGATATTACCAAAGACTAACAGAGCTCAGATGTGGTCGGTCGGCAAGACATAGGTAGAAAACTAGAAGAAACAAAATGTATATGATATAATTCGTAAATATGCCGGAATAATCTAAATAGCCACGGAATCATCAGGTATAAAGACAATAATGTTTAATATAACTGTACATAAATATATGTATCTATGTATCCTATCTAAATCTGCTCTATCTAATCTAACTATGTCTTGCTTTTCACATCTCTAATTCAATAAATCAACATATATATTTACTAACATAGCTTTAAACTAATTTCATATGCCTTCGCCATTATGTATCCATTTTAATATTTGTATTTTTTTTTATTTTGCAGTACTTTTATTGAAGTTTAAAGTCATATAAAATTGGAATAATTTTTTTTTATTGAATGCCTATATTTTTAATTTGACCGTATTTTTTTATAAATATTCTTTTTTACTATATTGTACAGGGCAAAGGTAAGTGTTTTCATGTATTATATTTTTTAACTTAGAAAGAAATAACACCAGAGAGAGACTTTGTACAAAAGTAGTTTGCTTGAGCATCTCCGTCCCTTTCGTGTTTCAACCGTGAAGCAGTTGTGTTTGCATGGCTGTGTTTCGGTTTGAAGGGTGGGATATGACAGTGAATTTACAGGGTACAGAAGAATAACATCTGAGTCTTCATAAATGGCAATGCAAGTCGGGTATCATGGGCGAAACAGTATACTCTGTTATGTCCATGGTACTGCTCATGTCTATAAGCGACGGTTACCACTTTCCATCAGGTGGGCCGTCAGCTTGTTTGCCATTCTAAGTTGTATAAAAACATTTTTTAAATTTTAAAAAGGAATTGGTGACTTTATCGGTGATCTTGGGAAAACAGAATTATATACGCCGAGATGTTTCGTAGATACATTAGATTGAAAATATTTGAATTTAGAATATGTAATCGTGTCTCAATATTTTTTCCCTGGTAAGACATCCAGAGGCAAATAAGAGAATTAGTAGTCAAGGAACGGAGCAGCAGCGTCCTCTTTAAAACATCACGAAACCTTAACTGCGGTTGTCAACTCGTCTGCCAAGCTTGGCAACTACTGGTAAAACTGGTAAAAAACTTATGGGGAAAGCCTATATTCAGCAGTGGACAGTTTTTTTTAATGGGTGATAATGGAAAGGCTACCCCACCCGCGCTATCGGCATACACCGGCGGGGCACCAGTGAAGGTTGATAGGTGAGGATGAAGCAGTTCAGTTAGCCCATCGTGACGAATTCAACAAGAATTGTTCACGATGGTTTCCAGGGGGAACCACGTGGAGGTTGATCTAATAGGGCATATTGGGCTGTTGCCTGGCTATGCTGGGCGATGGGGCTGTTAAACCCCAGCAGTGGACAGTTAACGGCTGGTATTAAATGTGTCAATATACATACATAAGTGTAAGATAAGATTCAGACGAATTGAGAAACCTCGTCTTTTGGAAGTCGTTTAATTATTACATTTGAGAACGCAATTTCAACGCAACCCATGAATCAGAATAGGTAATGCTTTTGTAATTTCTTAACTCGGCTTTACCGATTGCGTCGTGTTTGAAGTGTTATGGGTTTTTCCTGTATTACATCGAATGTCTACGATGCAATACATAGTAATGTATAGATAAAATATAGTCGTCTGGTCCCAGCATAGAATAGGCCACCCCATCTTTTCCGGTGGGTGTCGTAAGAGACGACTAAGACAACTTAATGGTCGAGGGATGGGCAGCAGCGTCCCTCTTAAAACATCATAAAAGCCTAACTGCGGTTGCCAACTCGCCCCCAAGCGAGGGGGACAAAATCCTTCAAGGGGAAGACCTATCTTCAACAGTGGATGGTTCACGGCTGACATGATTAGGACCCTTAGTCGCCTCTGACGACTCCCACGGGAAAAGAAGGGGTGCCTCCAGTTCTATGTAAGGACCACACGGCTAATGAAATATTATTTATTTTATAAAAAAAATAAATAAATAAGTGTCGCTCTGAATCGATTATTAATTCACTCGTGCGCCACCTGCCCTTTTCTATCTGTTCTCCTTTAACCAAAGGTTGGCTGTAAGAGATTGCCCTAGCGATAAGACCGCCTTTTGTACCTTTATGTGTATATTTCAATCTGTATTTATGTTACTGTATTTCACTTGAATTATTCACTTGTCATTGTATATTTTAATATACAATAAAGAGTTAAATAAATAAATAAATTAAGGATTAGGCATCAAACTTTATTTATGCAAGTACTATTTATTGTTGGCGAGAAAAAATTTTTTTACTGTTTTAAAAACTTTTGAAATTTTGTAAATTGTAACAGTTTACTTTTCCGACTCAATAGGTTGCCGACCTTTGATCTAGACTTGTCAGTATTCCGATGATATAACGTCTTAGATTATATAGATAGAGCATCGAGCCTCAAAAACGTGTCAACTTTTGTCAACCAATTGTCAAATTAGCTGACTCGTCTTTTTTATCAGTATTTTATATATTTGCGCACAGAATCTATTTCGACATATTATTTAATAAATAAAATGAGTGTTTATGCATTAAAAAGATGCAGAAACTATAAGACAAAATAAACATATAAAATTATAAAGGAATCACTCATAACTATTTATCACGCGTAATTGTATGAAAAAGTTGACACGCTTTTCTCGAAGCATTTCTATGGAGACACTCTATCTATATAGGGGCGAAAAGGATTGTTAGCAATGGAGTTTGACAGCTCCATTGCTAGCAATATACCTTATTAGGTCGACCTCCACGTGGTTTCCCCTGGAAACCATCGTAAGCAATTCTTGTTGAATTCGTCACGATGGGCTAACTGACCTACTTCATCCGCACCTATCTATTTTAACTGGTGCCCCGCCGGTGTATGCCGATAGCGCGGGTGGGGTTACCATTCCATTATCATCCATTTAAAAAAAAAGCTCTATCTATACTATCTATATAATCTATGTATTACGTATACTATTCACGTATTGAGAAACTAATGTTATGCCATTTTGTTATCCGGATAGTCGGTGATTCATATTTTGTGATTTCAATCGAACGTTGCACTCCGTTTATGACAGAATCCGGGTTCAGATACAGAATCCGTTTATCTGAATTGAATTAAAAAATATATATTTTTTTTATAATCGTAAGGGATTTTTTAATTGGATTATTTTATACAACTTAGAATGGCAAACAAGCTGACGGCCCACCTGATGGAAAGTGGTAACCGTCGCCTATAGACATGAGCAGTACCATGGACATAACAGAGTATACTGTTTCGCCCATGATATCCCCCATACGTTGCCATTCCTGAGGATTCAGGTGTTATTCCTCTGTATCCTCTAAATTCACGCCATATCCCACCCTTCAAACCGAAACACAGCTATGCTAACACAACTATTTCACAGTAGAAATACGAATGGGACAGAGGTACCCAAGCAATTGACTTTTGTACAAAGTCTCCCTCATTTAATATATTTGGTTAAGCACTTAAATTTTCCCGCCATAATTGTTGTCAACTATGGCTAATAACAGGTTATCTTTGTTACTTATCTATAAAACTGAATTACCTTATTCAATTGTTTATAATGAATAAGTATTAAAGCTAAGAACGAGTTTTATTATCTTTTAGAAGCATTTATTTCCCGCCAAAATTATTGTCTAATACGGTTGAATAATACGTTATCTGTGGCACTTTTTATAAAAATAGATTAACTGTTATTTTAACGGGTAATGGGGAGGAAAGCATCTTAAAAAAAGAACGTTATCTAATATCTTCAATTAAGCACTTAAAATTTCCCACTAAAATGATTGTCAACTATGGCTGTATAATACATTATCTGTGCCACACTCCAAAAAAAATGGATTAGTCAGCACAATCGATCGATTATGACAAATAATGGAGTTATAAAGAGTGAAGAGTGAAAGGCAGGAACGATGATGCGGAAACAACGCGTCACCGCCCGCGGTATTTGCGATTATGGATTGTTTATGTCATAAGAAATGGCGGTAAATCTTTGTTCAATCTCCATATAATCTATTTCAATAAATCTTAATGAAAAGACAACTGTTTTGTTGAAATTATTATAGAATTACTCTATTTTATTGAATTAGTGATTAGCAATCTAACACTAAGCTCAGAGCAGCGATCTAATAATTTGTCTGTAGTTGCCTTATTAAGAGGCGAACTTGAAACACGTGCAAAACGTGCGTGAACAAAATAGCGGTCGGAGATCAAAGGCTAATATGGAATGTTGTGGAACTTTTGGTAGTAATAGTGGTGGTCAATCTTCGAGTGTTAGCAGTCATGCACATACTAATGGTGGCGGAATTAAACAAAATAATTGTAATCAAATAGCCATGGAATTACTCTGTAAAAGTCGAAACAAATCGAAACATTTAATCATTTAATCGATTTTTTATTGGAAATCAACAAAGAGTTTTATGGTCGATTTAATTATTCGTTTGTTTGCAATCTCATTAGACACAGATATATAATAGGCATTTGTCGTGTTGGTCCCAAAATAGATTG